CCTGGATGTTTTGATATTGTACCATCCTTGTGGGAGGCTTCTCTCATGTCCCTCATGGGGAGCTGGATCTGACAGAGCGAACTCATCTGTGTTCTGTCTGGATTCAAACCCCTGACCTCTCAGTCTTCAGTCTTGCTGGCACAAGGGTTTAACCAATTGTGCCACCCAAGGTTCTGAGAGAATACTGAGAACAGTATGGAATTCCTGTATTTTATCTGTATATTATCCTATTTAGGGCATAAAAACAAGGAATTGTGGTTTCAACAGAAACCAAGTCACAGAAACAAACCCTTATGGAACGTTTGGGCCGGGCTTTAGCATAGTAGGTTAACCACCAACTGCAGTAAATCTTGCCAATCAAATGGTTGACAGTTCGAAGGCTGGGTTGGGGTGAGCTCCTGGCCTTTAGCCCAGCTTCTATCTACCTAGTAGTACAAAAGCAAAATGTGAGTAGATAAATAGGTACCGCTTAAAAGTGGGGTGATGGCATGATTCATCTATCCCAGAAGGGATAGATGAAACTCTCCGTCCCTTCTGGCAGTGGCTGGTCATGTGTGTAAATGTTGAACATGGATGGAGCCAGCACGCTCCCCTGAGGCAGGCCGTTCTTCTGTTTCAGTCATCTGCTTCTCTGGAACTCAACAAAAAAGCTCCTGTTTTGTAGCAGATTTCTTATGAAGCAGGTGAGGTGGTCGTCCTTTGTAATGTTATGCATTTTTTTTTCAGAAGGAGGCAATTACTTACATTAACAAAGCTGCTGACAGGTCTATGACGACAGCTCCTCTAATCTGCTGTTCATGGGATGGCAACGTGAAAGCAGTGGTGCATCAATGGCAACAGAAGTATTTTTGCCATTGGTATTGAAACCTTGGTATGACGCTGGGATAAATGCTTTCGCCTTAACTTATTCTATTCTCTCGCCATCCTTTTAGGCTGCAGCCGTGCATTGCATGTTGGGATTTGGCCGAACTGGAACCATGCTGGCATGTTACTTAGTGAAGACCCGGAAAATCTCTGGCGTGGATGCCATCAGGGAAATCCGGAAACTGCGCAACGGCTCAATTGAAACACCTGACCAGGAGAAGGCTGTCATCCAATTCTACCAACGAACTAAATAGTCAGAGCAACAAGCTGGATCTTTAGGATTACTCCCTTTTCTGCTTCTAAATAACCAAATTCAAAGAAGTTTTATATACCTTGGGTTTCATAGGGGTGGAAAAGGGTTGCGAGTGCAAAAAGGTTTAAGGAGCCTTGATCTCAATTAAAGTTTCTACTTGTTTACATTGATTTTACAATCAAAGCTGGGGAGTTAATTTGCTTTGGATGCACATTTATGGGGCTTTCTTTGTAGCCTTTTAAGCTGCTTTAACCTATGGTTTTTGGTATGTTTTAACTTGTCTAACTCATTCCTTGTTTATTTTACCTATATGGTGTCCTTATAATAAAAAAGGTGGGATAGCAATGATTTAATAATAAATCACTTTTTGGGGAGCGTAATGGCAGATGCCTTGTGATATTGTCAACACTGGAGACAGAACAATAACATAAGAATAATAACACCAATCTTGAATTCTAGGATCCAAGAGAGTAGCACAGTGTTTATTTATTTATTTATTTATTTGCTTTATTTTTATACCGCATTTTTCAGCCTAATTCGGCGACTCAATGCGGTTTACAATGCAATTTATATAACAATAACAATTAGTTAAAACACAACATACACGACAGACAATACAAGACAACACAACATAGTCATCAACGCCTCAGTAAAAATCAGATTCCGTTCTCATAATCCTTCTACCATTCCTTTGTTCATTTATACCGTCTTCATGAGTTCAGTTGCCTTGTTGACCGAACGCCTGTTCATAGAGCCACGTCTTGACCTTCCTCCGGAACTCCAGCAACGAAGGGGCCTGCCTGATGTCTACGGGTAGGGCATTCCATAGCCGAGGGGCCACCACCGAGAAGGCCCTGTCCCTCGTCCCCGCCAGCCGCGCCTGCGACGCAGGCGGGACCGAGAGCAGGGCCTCCCCGGACGATCTTAACGTCCTCGTCGGTTCATAGGTGGAGATGCGTTCGGAGAGGTAAGCAGGGCCAGAACCGTTTAGGGCTTTATAGGCTAAAGCCAGCACCTTGAATTGTGCCCGGTAGCGGATTGGCAGCCAGTGGAGCTGGCTCAACAGAGGAGTGGTATGCTCCCTGAGTGCTGCTCCCGTTAGCAACCTGGCTGCCGAGCGCTGGACCATCTGAAGCTTCCGGGCAGTCTTCAAGGGCAACCCCACGTAGAGCGCGTTGCAGTAATCAATCCGGGATGTAACCAGAGCGTGGACTACCGTGGCCAAGTCAGACTTCCCAAGGTACTTCTCAACTTGGGGGTCGGGACACCTGGGGATGTCACAAGGGGTCGTCAAAAACCATCAGTATTTTCTGTTGGTCATGGGGGTTCTGTGTGGGAAGTTTGGCCCAATTCTATCGTTGGTAGGGTTCAGAATGCTCTTTGAGTGTAGGCAAACTATCAATCCCATCAACTCCCAAATGTCAAGGTCTATTTTCCCCAAACTCAACCAGTGTTCGCATTTGGGCAAATTGAGTATCTATACCAAGTTTGGTCCAGATCCATAATTGTTTGCGTCCACAGCGCTCTCGGGATGTACATGAACTACAACTCCCAAACTCAAGGTCAATGCCCACCAAACCCTTCCAGTATTTTCTGTTGGTCATGGGAGTTCTGTGTGCCAAGTTTGGTTCAATTCTGTATCGGGTATTGGTCCAGTAAAAGAAAATACATCCTGCATATCAGATATTTACATTACGATTCATAACAGTAGCAGCTTTACATTTCTGAAATAGCAACAAAAATAATTTTACGGTTGAGGGTCACCACAACATGAGGAACTGTATTAATGGGTTTAGGAAGGTTGAGGAACATTGGATTAGCGGATCACATCCATTATGGTCTTCTATCCACATCTTTTATATTAATCTTTACTTTTTTTACTGAACATTTGGGATTAGTACATTGGGTTGCTTTGAGTTTTCCAGGCTGTCTGGCCATGTTCCAGAAGCATTCTCTCCCGATATTTTACTGATCCCTGTGGGACCCCACAAGCAACACCTTCTGGGAACAACCCCCCTAGGGAAGACTGGAGCCACTGCAAACAGTACCTCCAAGTCCCATTCCCACGAGGTGTCCCAGAAGGATACTGTGGTCAATGGTATCGAAGGTCACTGAGAAGTCCAGCAGAACACACTCCCCCTGTCTAACTCCCGGCGTAGATCATCCACTAAGGCGACCAAGGCTGTCTTAGTTCCATGCCCCAGACTAAAGCCAGACTGTGCCGGATCCAGATAATCTGTGTCTTTCAATAATATCTGGAGTTGAGAGGCCACTACACATTCCAGAACTTTGCCCAAGAAGGGGAGATTGGAAACTGTCCGATAGTTGACGAATTGAGTGGGGTCCAGTGATGTTTTCTTCAACAGTGGTTTCTTTTTTCTTTTTCCTTTTGGATAATTTTTATTGAGTATATTTTGGTATTTACAAAATAAATTTTGGGGAGGTAGAGGTAGGTGAGTGATGGGAAGCGGGGAGTCCTAGGGAAGATTTTGGGGTATGATTGGTAGGGACTAAGGCAGTGGTTCTCCACCTGGGGGTCGGGACCCCTGGAGGGGTTGCGAGGGGGTTTTAGAGGGGTCGCCAAACACCATCAGAAAACACAACATTTTCTGTTGGTCTTGGGGGTTCTGTGTGGGAAGTTTCACCCAATTCTATCATTGGTGCGGTTCATAATTCTCTTGATTGTAGGTGAACTATAAATCCCAGCAACTACAACTCCCAAATGTCAAGGACTATTTTCACCAAACTCCACCAGTGTTCATATTTGGGCATATTGAGTATTCATGCCATGTTTGGTCCAGATCTAACATTGTTTGAGTCCACAATGCTCTCTGGATGTAGGTGGACTACAACTCCAAAGCTCAAGGTCAATGCCCACCAAACCCTTCTAGTGTTTTCTGTTGGCCATGGGAGTTCTGTCTGCCAAGTTTGCTTCAATTCCATCCTTGGTGGAGTAAAGCATGCTCTTTGATTGTAGGTGAACTATAAATCCCAGCAACTACAACTCCCAAATGACAAAATTAATCCCCCCCAACCCCACCAGTATTCAAATTTGGTCCAGTGATGAAAATACATCCTGCATATCAGATATTTATATAATAACAATAGCAAAGTTGCAGATATGAAGTAGCAATAACAATAATTTTTTGCTTGGGGGTCACCAAAACATGAGGAACTGTATTAAGGGGTCGTGACATTAAGAAGGTTGAGAACCACTGGACTAAGGTATAAATCTACTAGGGCAGGTTGGGGACATGCAGGAGAGACTATTGGGTAGAGAGTGAGGGGTTGGGAATGGGGGTGGGAAAAAAAGGGGGGGGATATTATTGGCTCCCGAATCTCCTTCTCCACGCTTGTCTTTCTTTGACCTAGTTTCTTTCCTTATGGCTTCTCCCTTCTTCTTTCTTTACTTCCCTCCTGTCGTCTCTCCTGATCTTTCTTTGCATTTTTTGAGATAAATCTGTACCTATCCTTTTGTCTAGTCTTGCAGCTCGGTCATGAATTCGTCGAATAATTTCCAATCTGTCCTCAATCAGTCTTCTCTGCGAGTCTTTCAGAGCGAATATCAGTTTATCCACTTCCTTTATTTCGTTGACTTTATTTAGCCATTCCTCTCTGTTCGGTACTTCATTTAGTTTCCATTTTTTAGCGAATGGAAACTAAGTAGTTAAATACGTAAATACAATGTCTTTGTTAGGTATAGTCCATAAGTCGGGCCGCAGTAGTTAAATACGTAAATACAATGTCTTTGTTATTTTATTTATTTATTTATTTGGGGTTCTTTTACCCCGCCCTTCTCACCCCGAAGGGGACTCAAGTTATGATCCAACTTGATCTCTTCATCGAATATTCCTAATTAAAAAATATTCAGGTTTCATCTGTACTTTGGTTTGAAGTATTTTCTCACATGATTCCTGTATTGTTTTCCAATAAATTTTTATTTTGGTGCATGTCCACCAGGCGTGATAAAAAGTACCTACTCGATCTTCGCACTTCCAACATTTGTTATTTATTTTTTGTACATTAATCCTAATTTTTGTGGGGTCATGCACCATCTGTAAAACATCTTATACCAATTTTCTTTCATGTCGATGGAGTATGTATATTTAATATTTTTTGACCAAATCTGTTCCCATTTTTTGAGTTTTATTGATCTCCCGATATTCTTTGCCCATTTTATCATGCACTCCTTTATAGATTCCATCTCCGTCTCCCATTCAAGTATTTTATTGTATACGTTAGTAATATTTTTCTTATCTTTTTTTAGTATTCTCTCCCATGGGCCACCTTTTTCTAGGAAACCTATCTCTTTATCTTTATTGAAATATTCTTTTAATTGCAAGTATTGGAGTCAAGAGGATGATTTGAATTCTTTTGCTATCTCTTCTTTTGTTTTTAATTGTAGCTTGCTGTCTTTCTTTGTAAGAGTGTCTCTATAAATTGGCCATTTTGTCCAGCCCAGTAATCTTCTTTGTCCCGCTGGAAGCGGGGAAAGCCACATAGGTAGGGGCGGCTCAACCCATACGCAAAGTAAGCATTGGCAGTATACTTGATTTTGCCCAGGGGCGCTCTTGAGGCGCTCTTGGGGGAAAATAGACCTTGACATATGCGAGTTGTAGTTACGGGGATGTATAGTTCACCTACAATCAAAGAGCATTCTGAACTCCACCAATGATGGAACTGAACCAAATATGGCACACAGAACTCCCATGACGAACAGAAAATATATATCAGTGATTGGTTGGGGGGAGGGGCAAAATACTGTTTGCTTACAAATTACCTAGGGCCGCCTCTGCACATAGGTGTCTTTTAGTAATTTTTTTCTTTGTACTTCTCCCAAATCTTCATTAATGCCGCCCTGATAAAGTGATTGTTAAAGTTTTTCTCTCTTCTCATCTGATTGTACCACAGATATGAGTGGTTCCATCACAGCTTGTTTAAAGCTCACTGGAATATTGCCTTCCCGAAGGGAGGCACTGACCACCACCTTCTCCCACTCTGCCAAACTCCCTCTGGCTTCCTTTATCACCCAGGATGGGCGGGGGTCTATGATTCATGTGGTCACTCTCACCTCTCCACCTCATCCACAGGTTTCACCAGTTGAAATGAATCCATTCAATGATATTTAGACATACAACATATATAGACAGACACAGAGGCAATTTAACATTCCAGCTTTTCCAGCTTCATGAGGGTATGCTCGATTCCGGCCACAGGGGGAGCTGCTACTTCACCGTCCACTTGTGACACCAAGTCCTTGATGGAATACTTCCTTATTCTTCTGCATGCTGATGGAAAGTTTTATGGTGTTGTAAATTAGTTAAATTAGCCTCCCCAAATAGTTGAATTTTGGGTTGTTGTAGGTTTTTCCGGGCTATAT